TTAAGGTGAAAAGTATTAGCATTTTTTTCCCGATAGTCTACAGAACAAACCATTGTTACACGATAACTTGTCTAATTACCCTAACCTGCTTAGTCAACCTATTAACCTAGTTAAGCCTTTAAATGTCACTTATAGCTGTATAGAAGTGTCTTGAAAAAGAGCTGGTCAAATATTATTTACAGTCATCATGGCAAAAATAATATAAATCAGTTATTAGAACTTCTTGCTGTGAGGTGACAGCACTAACTTCCGCCACTGCATCACCCATTATAGAATCATGTTAAACTAAATGAAAACCACAAATATTTTTTAACAGTCAGATTAAAATATTTCAGGTTATTTATATATTTGATATAGTTTATAACAAAAACTTATTTAATATAATTAAATATATTTGTTTAGAATTATATATTTTATTTAGTTTATAATTGCATTAATTTAATTTATTTTATTTCAAGCATTTTATCTTCTAATGTCCATATCATCTTGATGACTGAAAGACTTCCGAAAGATTGAAAGGTGGTTCCAAAATTTTATGAGTTTCTTTTTCTGTTGAACACAAAGGGTATTTTGAAGAATGTTAAAAAATCTGGCGCCATTTGACTTCCATAGTATCTTTGGACACACTTTATTTTGATGGTCCGTTTGTTGAATTTAAGTTACATTCCATCTACATGCCAACTAATTCTCATTAGACTATGAGTGGACTTTTAGGTTGGGGTTTGTGTTAGTGTAAGTTGGCATGTACTTGTAAGTTTCTTATAGTCAGGGCCAGACGGAATCTGCGGACGTTTTTTGCTATTTCTGCAGAGAATTTTGGTAAAAATCTGCATATTTCTGCTGAATTATTTTGGGAGTATCCAGCGGAGTATCATAACTAAAACCTTAATATATGAAATAAAAAGTAATAAATTACTGAATAAAAACTGAATAAATTTACATTTACACATTTACTCAAGTAAATAAACAGATTTAATGATGGGATAAAAATCTGCTGAAATCTGTGGAATTCTGCAGAAAATCTGCGGAATTCTGCACGCACAGATTCCGTGTGGCCCTACTTATAGTCAGGTAAACTTTTGTTTAGCAGCAGTATCAACAGATATTAAGCAGACAGTCTACTAACACTCAAATGGACCATCAAAATAAATTGTTACCGTATCTATTTCCTACAATAGATGTCAATGACTAGTTTCAAACATTCTTCAAAATCTATTTTACGTTCAACAGAAGAAAGAACCTCAAACATCTCTGGAACAAGTGGAGGCAGAGTAAATGTTTAGGTGAACCCTTTAACATCAAGAGACTTTAAAACCCTAAACACATTTCTCCTTCTCTTGAAACATGTAACATCTCAGTCCACACACTTTAGGAAGAGGATTGCATCATCCCATCAATCCCATGAAGTACACTCACCGCTCTTTCATAAGCAACACCAGCGTTATGCCATTTTATTTATTGTTTTATTTCTGTAACTCTGTCTGAAGGTTACAGTCTCTGTTTCCTGCAGCTGTACTGACTAAGATATTGTCCTTCCACATTAAACAGTTTGTTAATCAAATTACTTTTTAATTGTGTGCAGTGATTTAGAAAGAGACATCATCAGTCTCATGAGGGCTGAGGTCACGTCCTCATCAGCATCCAAACACTGTTCAGTGGACTTACAGTACAGTATATACATAATAAAGACACTTTTCAGTCTGAATATCGAAACTTTTTATGCTTTTTGTATTTTTTTAGAAAGCCTGTTTAGAATTATTAAATATATGACTGTTAATTGGTGGCTCAGTGGTTAGCACTGTCGCCTCACAGCAAGAAGGTCACTGGTTCGAGTCCCGGTTGGGCCAGTTGGCATTTCTATCAGGAGTTTGCATGTTTTCCTTGTGTTTGCAAAATAATTTAAATGAATAAATAAATAAACGTAATCTGTACAAATAATTAAACCTGAGTCTACTATGTAGCCCATAAAATGCCAGATATGCTCAAGCGCTTGCACAAAGCCATTGGTTAGTTTGTAGTTTCTGGATGCAGCCTTGATGATGCAAGCTGAGATTGCACAATGCATATGTCAGAGATGCAATGTCAGACACGATGTACTGTGGGGAGTAGGGTTAGGTGAGCACAATAAAAAGCATTGTAAGCAGCTCAGATTGCATTGCACCATGTCTGCCTCCACCCGAACAGAATTACCTAAAAGACCAAAATGACTACTTGTAACATTATCTTTGAAGTTATGTCACAACACTACATCACAGTTTTTGGACTGAATTTTGTTTTGTAAATCTATTTACAAATCACTGCTGCGTGAAAAGCTTTAAATGGATATTTTAAAAATCTACTCATTCCAGTATGAAAACTTTTCAGAATAGCACTAATGTTGTTTTGATGTTTTGTTAAAATGTTACAATTTTGATTGTTCTGAACAATTATTAAATATAAATTAAAATAAATTGAACTGTATTTTGGCCATTCCACACTGATCATCAAATCCCAGATTAACATTTTCTTTTATTTCATAATATATTAAATACATTCACTCGTCAGATCTGAAAAAAATATTTTGAATCATATTTTTCTTGTCTTTGTATAGTTCATGAATAATTACAATTTTCTAAAAAATCCTACTTTTTAAAAAAATCAAACAGTTAAGACATAAACTAAAAAACATGGCAAAATTCAAAACATTGGATTATTTTTTTCACATTCACTTATGATTAAGAATACATTTATTTTGTTGCGATCAGATTTAATAAAGTTTATTTGAAATAGAGATTGACTGTTTTATAAAATAAAAATTCAAATGGACCCAGAATATGAACATTATACAGATTTTGTTTATGACATTTTAACAATGTAAGGTAAACATTCACTGTATTTAAAAAAATAAAATAAATTATTACACACACACACACACACACACACACACACACACACACACACACACACATATATATATATATATATATATATATATATATATATATATATATATATATATATATATATATATATATATATACAACAGTTTTGTCGGGTTTTCGAATCTGATTGGCTGATAGCCGTGATATATTTAAGTAATATCAGCACCCATACAGCCTCTTTACCCTTTGTGTATTACTCCGCCCACATAGAGCCAGCAAAAAGCAGACACTACAGATCTAAAGTTTAAAAGATGCTTGCTTAGCTTGCTCAACTGTCAGCTTATGATTTGAATCCAATGCGGAAGAAAGTAGTTCCTCATACAAAAGAGTTTTTGAGACTCTCCATGTTTGATTTTGTTTTTATATACATAATTATGCCGTCAAACTGTTGTATAAATGCAATATCACACTCATAGCAGTGCGATATGGCTGTATATCGGCACTGGCACACCTCCCACCAGTGTCGATATACAGCCATAACGCACTGCTACGAGTGTGATAATGCTCATATATATATATATATATATATATATATATATATATATATATATATATATATATACCTAACTTGCATAGTTAACCTAATTAACCTAGTTAAGCCTTTAAATGTGTCTTAAGTAACTTGAAAAACATCTAGTCAAATATTATTTACTGTCATTACTGTCAAGCTAATAATTCAAGGGGGCTAATAATTCTGACTTTAACTGTACACACACACACTCACACACACACACACATATATATATTGCCATGATGACAGTAAATAATATTTTACTAGATATTTTTCAAGACACTTCTGTACAGCTTAAAGTGACATTTAAAGGCTTAACTAGGTTAATAAGGTGAACTAGGCAGGTTAGGGTAGCAAGTTATTCTATAATGATGGTTTGTTCTGTTGACTATCGAAAAAAAAAATTAGCTTAAAAAGGGCTAATAATTTTGTCCCAAAAATTGTTTTTAAAAAAATCAAAACTGCTTTTATTCTAGCCAAATTAAAACAAATACGACTTTTTCTAGAAGAAAAAAATATTATCAGACATACTGTGAAAATTTCCTTGCTTTGTCAAACATCATTTGGGAAATATTTAAAAAAGAAAAAGAAATCAAAAGGGGGCTAATAATTCTGACTTCAACTGTATATATATATATTAAGAGTTCAGATACAAAAACCTCTAAATGGCTTCTGATATTTTCCTCTAAAATTTGTATTTTTATCAGGCTCCTGTGTGTATGTTCAGTAATACCACTTTTATGGAAAAAAAAGTCAATTTCCTGGTCTTTAAATTGAAATATCTCAACATAAAGAAAGGAGGCTGTGAAAAATGTTCGTTTTTAATGGAAATTTCAGACGGCACTTAGAGGTTTTTGCATCTGAACTCTTCATATATGCATTAATAATTATAATATATTTTTAAATCAATATTTATAAAATCTAGGCTCTTTATTTACGTTTTTTTTATTTTACATTAAAGCAGTTTTCTGGTCATTTTAAATTACTTATCTGTTGTTATTTAATCTCTAAACGCTAATAATAATAAACGCTCAAATAAATCTATAAAACCTAATCTTAATATCTCATGAGACTGGTTGATGTTTTGCCATAACTTATAAAATGCCGCCATCTACCGATTAAATATAAAACTGCTTTGTGATTGCACTACAAGCCGCCGTTTGATGTAGGGTTTGTTTTATTGATTTGCAACATAAAATATGTTATTAGCGCTGTTTATCATATCTCTAACAAATAGCATAATTTACCATCAGTGCAATGTAAAAAAAGTAATTATACCGAGTATTATTCATATTATTTATAAAATTACCATTCAGATCGTAATTTATTAACGTCTGACTCCACCTAACCCTAAACCTCACAGTAATGTAAGACTATTAATTATTATTGTACAGTGTCACAAAAATTATGCTTTATTGATTTGAGTATCCCTTATGGAGTTTCCGCAGCTGCATCCCATCTAGACTTTTACTTTACCCAACCAAGCTGCGGTGCACCGGAAGAGCATCAATGCACCAATCAAAAGGCTCACACCAGTACGAACCAATCAGAATTAGTACGTATGATGACGCAAGTACACGCAGCAAGGCGGGAATTTCTTCATCAGAAACTGCGCGGGACGGTTCACTGCTCAAGAGCGCCTCATTAAGAGCTTAGAGGTCATGTAAATCATATGTTTTCATTTTTATCTTTATTCTCAGTAGAAAGAAATGAACGAGACAGCAGAACTACAAATGAACACCCAACCCGTTAGCGATGATGCGCACGTCAAAGTTACGCCACGTCAAGGGGGCGTGTCTTCAAAAAGAAGGTAAACAAACTGCAACATTTAAACAGAGTATCCGCGGGGTCACGTTATTAAAAAGTCTTAAAATCTCTTAAATTTCAGCGTTTTATGCTTTTAATAAATCTTAAATTCACTGAAATATTGTGTTGTATGTCTTAAATAATTTTAAACAGGTCTTCATTTTCCTCTGTTTAAGTAAAGCTAGGTTATTCCGACATCCATCCAATCACCAATAACCCATCTTAATAAAATCAGAGAAAGAAAACTGAAAACAATTACACAGTTCCTCATGATAATAACATAGCCATAAATTGCTTTACGTTATCTTCCTTTCATACAAAAATATTTACAGTAAGGGCAAGTAGACATAATATTTATAAATAGGCATGAAACTTAAGGTTTTATAATGCATTAGGTTGAATAGAAGTTATACTCAATTAATTTGGACCAAAAGCCAACAAATATATTTGATTATTGATGTAATAAAGAGTTCAGATGCAAAAAACCCTAAATGCCGCCTGCAAGTTTTCTCTAAAATGAGCATTTTTATCAGGCTTCTGTGTAAAGGTCTTGTGAAAAGTGAAATATCTCAACATAAACAAAGGAGGCCGACAACAAATGTTTATTTTTGATGAACATTTTAAACGACACTTAGAGGTTTTCGCATCTGAACTCTTTAAATACGGTCATGGAAAACCTGGAAAGGTTTTGGAAAAACAGAAAAAACCCACAAAAGTTTTGGAAAAGTCATGAAAATTAGTTTAACAAATATCTGTATACAGTACATGAATATATGGTAGTTGTATTTACTTTTCTGTCCTTGGCCAAAAACATGCTCTCACATCATTAGTGTGGTGTAAGCATTGTTTAAATAAAATTTACATAGATATAATAACATTTAAACCAAATCGATTGTTGCATGTTTTCTGACAGGCTGAAAGAAATTTGAATGTGCACTGTTTTTCGTATTAATAACCACCTATGCGTAGACATTATATGAAACATTAGAACAGGGGTGTCAAACTCAATTCCTGGAGGGCCGAAGCCCTGCACAGTTTAATTCCAACCCTGCTCCAACACACTTACCTGTAGGTTTCAAACAAGCCTGAAGGACTCAATAAGTTTGATCAGGTGTGTTTAATTATGGTTGAAACTAAACTGCGCAGAGCTGCGGCCCTTTTGGAGTTTGACACCTGTGCATTAGAATATGAAATTGCTCTTAAAAATCTTGGAAAAGGCATGAAATGTCATGGAATTTTAGAAGTACAAATGTGTATGAACCCTTATTTGAACAATGTTAAACCTGTCATCTAAAAAAAAAAAAAAATCTAGTATGTTGAAAATGGTGTTTGCAACTTTTTTTTCTTTTGACACATTAAAGTATGTCACTAAGAAATAATTACATTAGATTTTTTTTTTTTGTGGCAAGCAAAAAAAAAAAAAGTCCATTGGCCCAACCAGGCCGTTAGAAATAGTCATTATTGTTTAGCCCGGCCTTAAAAGTCTTAAATTTGATTTGATGAAACTTCATGTTATTTGAAAAGTCCCACATTCACAAACCAAAAATCGTAAATGTATTATCCTGTAAACTCCTTTTTTTTATTGATCTAATTTTTTGAAATGATTCCCTGACTTCAATACAAGGTAATATTTAAGCTTTTAAGACATCTAAAAATACTTAATGTAGATGATAACTATGCTTGAGTTAAATGTAATTTCTGTTATTTCTCTTGTATACTGTTTTATGTATAACTGTATTCTTGCGTTTAAATCAATAGAAAAACAAACATTCAATACAAGTCTGTTTAGTGAAAGCATAACTAGTAATGTTTGTTTATTCCTTACAGACTTTCAGAATCCAGATGTAACTCTAGGAGCGTCAACTCAGGTTTTAAATCTCCAGTATGTAAAGTTTATTGATTGAGTCAAATGTTTTTAGAAAATTAATAAATATTGATATTGTAATTTTGACATATTAGTAGTCTATGATACAATGTCTACAACTATTAAAAAACAGTATTCATTTGAATTGAATTTCTACAAATCATGTGTGATCTTTGAAGAGTGTGCAATGTGAGTTATAGTCGATATGCATATGGATAAGTTGTGATTGGTTTGTTATGATAGGTACTGAAGCCTAGTATGGTGAAATCTCCTGTTTGTCTTGAGGAAGAAGTGAAAGAGCTCAAGAAAACACAGGATTGTCTGGATTCAGAGATTGCCTCACTGGAAAAAGAGTAGGTGTAAAAAGATTACATGTACAATTGTTCATTTAGCAGACGCTTTTGTACAAAGCAAATTACAGTCGAAGAGAACTTCAGCAATTCTAGATGCTAGATATATTGTTGTGTTCACTCTTGAAGGTCCCATGTAATTAAAATAAAGTTTTTAGATGTTAGTATCAGTATTGTTAGCTTTTAGGATATCTATAAGCTAGTGTGCTCCAAAACAGTAACAAAATTTGCGTTTAGAAGAAATAAAAATGATAGAAACATGTAAAGTTTGTAGTTTGTAACTTCCATCTTAATGGATAAACGCTTTTGTCACCTCATACTACAGATTCACATCAAATCTTCTTGACCATTAAAATGCCCTCTAGGGTTTGACATGCCCCACCCCCTTTAAGAAGCTTCTCATTTGCTTTTCATTGATCTCAACCACTGTCACTGGCAGAGCGGTGATAAAAATAAACATTATTGGCTGTTTTTTTAAAAAGGTAGGAACTACAATATGCCCCACTCTATCTTCTTTTCCCATCTTGTTTCGTTTGAGATTACGTTAAACATAAATATAAAAAAGGGTGAAGCAGTGGCGCAGTAGATAGTGCTGTCGCCTTAAAGCAAGAAGGTCGCTGGAGCCTCGGCTCAGTTGGCGTTTCTGTGTGGAGTTTGCGTTCGTGTGGGTTTCCTCCGGGTGCTCCGGTTTCCCCCACAGTCCAAAGACATGTGGTACTGGTGAATTGGGTAGGCTAAATTGACCATAGTGTATGAGTGTGTGTGTGAATGTGTGTGCGGATGTTTCCCAGAGATGGGTTGCGGCTGGAAGGGCATCCACTGCGTAAAAACTTGCTGGATACGTTGGCGGTTCATTCTGCTGTGGCGACCCCGGATTAATAAAGGGACTAAGCCGACAAGAAAATGAATGAAAAAATATAAAAATGCCTATTTCAAAGCACTTCACAGGACCTTTAAAGTACGAAATCCACTTTACAATGTTGATTTTGCTAGCATACATTGTTAGTTTTAATGTGAACCCTGCAAGTTAATCTACTTAATAAAAAAAAGGTTTGTTTTGGTAACCTTTAATCAAAATCTGACCATTTGCCTCCTCAACTTTATTTTTTCTACAAGTGAAACATGTGAGGAGGAGTTTAAAAGAAAGTCTTGCCCCCCACTCAATTCCATTTCAATTGAAAGTACCTCATCATACTTAAATAAACATCCGCAGCAACTTCCGTTTCACACTGAAAATTTGCAGTTAATTTACTCACCTCGGCCATCTGATATTTCTGAATTAAATTTTTTTCAGTATTCCAATAAAAATGTTTTTTTTTTGTTTAGTTTTTTTTGTTGAAACCTTGGTCCTTGCGATTCTTAAAATGGCGAAAGTCAACAGCTACTGCCACTTAAACATCCAAAAAATATGTGTACATGCAAAACTTAGGCTGTTTCTCAATATGCGTTCTTCAGCATTCTTGCATCTATGTGTTCTCGTGTAACGTCAACATCAACTGCCAAAGTTCAGCTCCAAAACTCAAGACCGCAAGACAGGAGGGTGCGTGAAAATTCCCAGATGTGTCCTTGATATTAAAGACGCACCGATGCAGACTTAAGTGGAAAACTCGCTTGAGAAGTCCCAGAAGTCATTGCGGCTGAATAAAGGAGGTGGGAAGCATTTAATTTAGATTTAATATTAAAGTTCAGAGATATAACTTATTTACCAGGCAGGAGTTTTCCTAAATGAGACGGTGAAAGTAAACATTACCATGAAAATCTTTATAAAGGCATAAACACATTAAGGGTGTTTATTTGCTGAAATTTGTATTTAAGTTTTATTTGTATTGTGCGATGTATATATTTGTAAGGTCTTTATGCAAAGTATATATTGTGAAAAGGGGAAAAACAATAAATTGTTGTATAAATACTGTAATGTCTAAATTATTTTCCATAAAAAAACTTGTGAAGGTCATGTGACCATCAGGAAAAACCAGAACGCAGCATCTCATTTCTCACAGGACGCATTCTCTGTTCTCGTGGTCTCCCAAGTTCGTTATTCTGCGGTCACTTAGAAAGACCGGTCTCCACAAGAACGCGAGTCCGTTCTCTGCGTTCTTGGAATTGAGAAACAGCCTTAATTAATACCCATGACTCCTGAGGATACACTGAGGACTTATGAAGCAAAACTGTTGGTCCGGATGCAAACCTACACATTTTTCTAAACAAAACATTAGAATAACTATTAATAAATAATATAAATATTTTAACAACACTCACTGATCTGAAGAATTTTGTGCAAAGTTTGTTATTCATATATCTTAATTATTCATATATCTTAAAAAAAACAAATACACACACACACACACACACACACACACACACACACACATATATATATATATATATATATATATATATATATATATATATATATATATATGTGTGTGTGTATGTGTGTGTGTATGTATGTGTGTGTGTGTGTGTGTGTGTGTGTGTGTATATACATGTATCATGAATTTTAAATGGCAAAGAACCACAATTTAAGCAAGAAATAAAAAATTGTTCTGCTGAATAAAAAACTGCTTGCTTTACTGTACATATTGGATGGCCTGAGTGAATTAACAGCAAATGTATATTGTCTGTGAACTATCCCTAGCTTAAAATGTTCTTTATTTCAAGTGTTCTTAAAGTGGCTAAGAAGTCAAAACTAAGCATATGATTTTGTGAATTTTTGTATCTAGTTTTGTGGTGAACAATTCATCTATGCATGTCATTAAGAAAAAAAATTGGCCTTTTTAATCTTTAATTGAAATCTAAAAATGCTTTTATTTTTCAATTAAATTGTCAGATGGACCCTTTTCACAAGCCTGTTATGACGCGTTTAACGGTCATCAGCATCTTAAAATCTTTTAATAGTTTTATTTTTTTTTAAATGTATGAAAATTTACATGTATTTATGTATGTAGTATATCATCTTTGCTTCAAATGACAAAAAAACTAATTACCGCTTGTGCGAGGGGGTTTTAATGCAGCGTCTATGAGACAGGACAGCAAATTTGACGTTATTCACTCCTCTGACTGCCGTCATCAGTCTCACGCAATTTTTTTCCTCTGTCTGAAAGTCTTTATAACATCATCGTGGCGTTTTTCTTTTATTATTTAAGCAAATAAGATTGTAAAAAAAATTATTTGTTGAATTCTCCCATTCACTGCGCTCTAAGTTTTCCCAACTATGATGACTTCCTCTACTGAGAAGCCCGGAAGTGTGAAAAGGGTCTATTACGTTTATCTTAGGAATTAGCCATAGCTTACATATTTAACCAAGCTGTCAGTTTTGACAACAAACAGAAATGGTGAGGAGGAGGAGGAGGAGTCTGTTTGTTTGTAATAACTCTTTTCCTGATCTTTCTGAATGAAATGCCTACTTTACTATATCCGATCAGCCAGTAGTAGAAAAAACACACCTACTCTTTACGCATTTAATATTCTGTTTCTCTGCGTCACAATAAGAAAAAAAAAATTATTGCATCTTTCTGGTTCATGGGGACTTTAAAGGTCCCATGAAGTGCTTTTAAATGTGCATTTAAATTTGCAGGGCGGGACATAGTGTAGCTCCTCCCCTTTTTATAAAACAGTCAATAGCCTTTTGGTTTATCACCGCTTTGCCAGTGAGAGTGATTGAGCTCAAGCGCATCAAATGTGAAGCGTCTTAAGAGGGAAGGGACATATCAGACTCTAGAGAGCATTTGATTGGTCGTGATTTGATGAAAAACTGAAGTATGGGGTGACATGAAAAAAAAATCCATTTATGCCGCAGTCACACTTGAGTTTGAGCTTACAAAATTATGTCATACGGCTCTGCGAAAAGGGGTGGGATTGAACAAGATGATTAGACATTAAAAAAGTGAGTGATTGGTCCATATTTTAAATTCCTGTACAGAGAGGTCATGTTTTGATCCTCAGTTGGTCTCATGTAGTCAAGTGATGGTATTTCGCAAGTCAGAGTTCATCAAGCTTAAACTCTGCATTGCAGCAACCTGGAAAACCTGTCGTAGGTGCTTGCGTTTCCGGTCTGACTCATTCGCATGCGTATGAATGGAAGTCTATGAGGAGAAAAGTGCAGTGTGACCGCAGCTTCAGGCAGAAGCTTTACATGATAGATCTCAAACTCAATGCCTTGAGGGCCACAGCTCTGAACAGTTTTGCTCCAATCCTAATCTAACACAGCTAATGCAACTAATCAAAGTGTTCAGGACTTTTTTGAACACTGGATCAGCTGTGTTTGATTATGGTTGGAGCAAAACTGTGCAGAGCTGCGGCCCTACAGGAATTGAGTTTGAGATCTATGCTTTACATGTTTATATCAGTTTTATATCTTCTAAATGCGAATTTTGGCACTGTTTTGGAGCACATTAGCTTATAGATATCCAACAAGCTAACAATACTGATACTAACATCTAAAAAGTTTATTTTAATTTCATGGGACCTTTTATGATAGCAGGTTTTTTGTATATATTTAGTTTTGTTTCCTTTTAAGATAATAGCTAAAAAATATCTTAAATGTAAAATATGTCCATTTTAAGATTGCTTATTTTTAGTTGCATTATTGTCCCACTATTGGTTTACTGGCAGATTAAACTGAGCTAGCGTTGCTGTGTGGTTTTGTTTGTAGAGGATTTGTTGTACAAGAGCTGGATCAGCACATCGACCTGCTGCATGAATACAATGACATCAAAGACATTGGACAAACTCTACTGGGCAGACTAGGTAAGACGTGATGCCTTTAATAATACATTTTAAAAGGTGTTTTTTGCCAGTCTGCTACCAGACATTCATACCACAATAACCTCCTCTCCATAAACACTTGTGGCCTACACACTTCTGCCATCACACTCATCTAAGTGGGTTACAGCCTCCGTACGCTCGCTCTGCATTTCTCACCAGTGTCAAGATTATGATAATGGCATCCTCTGGTATTACCGCTGCATTCTGTAAGATAATGGACCCTTTTAGACTCCCAGCATGCTGAGTTTCTCCGGCCTCACAGTGACTTCAGCTGCTCTGAGGGCTGGAGGGGGTCATTTTTCCCCATGTGACCATTGATAAAGACAACTGTCTCTCTGTGTTTCCTACAGCCGGCCTGCGTGGAGTGACCACACGAGACTTGTACAGTCACTTTGGCCTTGAGTTGGATGACTGACAGATATTGGAAGGGCCTCATAATACTGTTAGTGTTATATCTTTGTATTTATACAGAACACACCAGTGTTTTCTTCATGCTATTGGGCTGAATGAGCCTAATTAAGAAGTTTCTGTCTGAAATAACTCTGATTTAATTTTACATACAAACCTTCAAAGAAATAGAAAGGTCTTTTGTTAACACTGTGATAAGAATTGGTTTGACATTTTTCTCTGAGCATCGTTTTCCTCATATTGTGTTGACGTGTTATCATGCACTCAGGATTATTGTGTATGAACCGGTGTCTACGGCCATTGTGTTGTCATCCAAATCTGGTGAATTAGAGGAACAGTTTGTTTAAAAATTCAATGTCTGTCATGAATTCCTTACCTTTTATTTTGATTTGAAATCCAAAACGAGATGACATGTAGCTTTGAAGTTGCTCACGTTGTATGGAAAAGAGCAACATGAACATTTTTCGAAACGTCTCATTTTGGGCTCTCCAAATGAAAGGAAGTCAGATTTGGCACAATGATGAAAGGTTCATTTATGGGTGAACTGTTCCTTTAGGGAAGTACTGTGTCATAAATTCTGCTTTATTATTGTTATTATTATTTTTGTTTTACCAATAAATGCATTTATTTGAAAGTTAATGAAATAAATTTAAGCAGTATTTGTGAGGTTGCTTAATGTGTTATGTTGCGTAGCTGTCCCAGCTGTGCTAAAGGTGAACTAAGTACACCATAAGCTAGTTATGATAGATAAATTATGGCCTGTGTCTCAATATTTTTGGATTGCATAGATAAAAAATCTGCTTTGCTGATAGTAGATAATGTACATATCACTATACAGTTGTAAACTGATTTGTGCTGTCCAGTAACAAATTATAAATACTCCAATTACTGTACTTGAGTTTTTTGTTCTTAGGATTAGTAATTTATTAGGTAGTTTTAAAAATGTGTACTTTTACTTTCCCTTGAATACACTTTTAGTGCAATATCGCTACTTTTACTCCACTACTTTATTTCAACCTGCGTAATTACTTAATTTTTTTCTTGTCTATGGGGATAAACAAATTATTAAATCAATTCTTTGATTCCAGTCCTATCAAATAATAATAATTTTTCATTATTATGAACAATTTGAAGATATGTTTGGAAAGTATCCAGGAAGATGATGTCCAAAATCTTTACACGCAATGACTGTTTAGACTGAATGCCATTGATGGTGGCGAATGTTTACTGTACGATGACTGAAATCGTCAAATAGTCAAAATGTTACGTTTACACACACACATGCATAAATTGCATGTAAAAACATCACCTTTTCACAGTGTAATACTTCTTAAAGGGCTACTTTTTACTCATACTTTGAGTAATATTTACAGCAGATACTTTTACTCTACTTGCACTACATTATTAAGTAAGTAATTATACTTTTACTTGAGTATGATTTTTCATGACTTTCCACCACTGGTGCTGTCTAACATGATATCCACAGTGAAGTGTTTATACCACATGAAATCAATTTTTGTTACTGTTATCTCACATGATTTTCATCGACCATTCTAAAAAAATATATGAATGTTGTGACCAGTACAAAGAAACACAGTGGAAAGTAATTTGTTAGGCAAATCATGTTAACATTAAAATGCAAACTGAAAAAATAAATGGGGTTTGTGACGTCAGCTACATAGGTAAGTTGTTTTAGGAGCTACATTTAGATAAGCGATTATACACAGTTTGTTTCTGTGAATTAACTTGTATCGAATGCTACATGCAATCAGGAGTATAGTCAAAATAATTTCACAGAAAAAAAAATACATACTTCAAACTAAAATAGAAATGTTTGCAATTCATGCATTTTGAATGAAACCAACAGTCTCGTGTCCTTTTGCTATATATTTCAGTTAAAATCCTGTCTCCTTACACATTAGTATTATCATGTGCATTACGTTCTTTTAATTTTCACAAACAGCTGTCTTTGCCAGTACAATGGCTTGCAGATGGACAGATGTCTGACAATAGCTCTCGTTCTCCTCCTCCATCATGCCTCATGGTCCCGCAGAGCTGCTTTGCAACTACCGGGTGGAAACTGTCGTGATGATTCGCTGGCTGGGCCACATTTCCTTGACAGGACTTTAAGCCCCGCCTTTCAACAGCGAAAAGGCTGCGCTCTGAGAGCACGATTGGTTTAAAGCGCTGTCATTCAATGTGTACACACAGCACCGGCGAATAGCGAGGAGGCGGGCGCAAGTAAGAAAATTATAAGGTCATTGGAATTACCAGCGCTACATGCTATCCCCACAATGAAGCGATAACAGATAAGAGTGAAAAAATGAAATAAACGGGAGCAAAGTCTACCATAGGAGCCGCGGAAATAGGTAAAAGGCGGGCGAGTGGCCGTTACACACCGGCGCGTGTGTATCAGCGCAGGTAAACGGTGGAGGTTTCGCTTAAGCCGATCAAGGTGGGATCGTACGGAACAGGTTCCCCTTCTGCCATAATACACACGTTATTGTGACAGAGAAGACCAAAATCGAGGTATTTCCCGGACCACAAACACCAACATTTCAAATATTTTAGCCATTAGTCATTTCCGGAATCTCCTGTATCATTAATCGTCATGATAGCGAGCTGTCAGTTGCTTGTTAAAGATGAATTTACTGATTTTACTATAGCGTCAATATGCATTGTGTTCTGCTTATGTTTGCCGATGGATGCCGTGTCATGTGTAGCAGTGTAATTGCTCATAATCCAGCTAAAGGGAAATAGGATGTCATTCATGCGCACTGGCCTTTTCAGTATGAAACACGCATAGCAAATATAACCGATCGTATAAACGCATAATATAATTAATTGCCTGACTGTACGAGTTGAATTTCATACAACGTGTTTTGTGATTGTAACTGTAGAGTGAAGCTCAGTGTACTGCATTGCTGTAGTGATGTCCGATTCGCGAGCGAAGCATTCTTTTGAGTCGGATCTTTTCAACCGAGTCATTAAAGCGAATGGATTCGTTCACAAATCGACCTGAATCCTGAACTCTTAGGCGCAATGAGCTGGGAAACATTTCTGAATATGTTAAACTCCCAATTACCAAAAAATAGGTTAACGTTAACTTTTAGGTCTCTGAACAGGGTGTCTACAGGGTCTTAAAATGTCTTAAATCTCTAAAAGCTAAATTTTAGGCTTTAAAAAGTCTTAAATCTACTGACATGTGTTGTAGGTCTTACATATTTTTCAACAAGTCTTAATTTTTCTGTGTTCATGTATAGCAACCTACTCTGGCCATTTACACCCATACAATTGACAGCAATTCATCTCGATAAAGCTTTTAACTTTTTATTTTCAAAAAGCTTTTAATTAACATTTGCTTAAAAGTTCTACATTTATTTACTTATGATGATACTGACCTGACCTATATTTTTATTATTAAATCATTATTATTGTAGGCTGAAGTAACTGACAGCTATGTTTTGTTCTATTCTTGTTAAGGGTTATAGAGTTTGTGAATGGATTTATTTAGAAATTACAAAAAGAAATATTCAAACTAAATTATTATTATTGTATCATTGAATGTATTTAATTTTAATTATTTTTTGATAGGGCAAGTGAAAGTCTTTTTTAACTAAGATGTTCGAAAAAAAAAAATCTTTAGCATTTAGCCTTGTGTAAGGCAAAAATTTAATTCATAATGGTCTTTAAAATGTCTTTAAAAGTCTTAAATTTAACTTTGTGAAACCTGCAGAAACACTTATACAGAAAAAGTTATGAGCACCAAGGCAGTTAATAGATTGCAAGCTATGCCTTTGTTAAACCAATCTGTTAGTATTAATTCAGTAAATTTATTAGCAATGTGCAGGTGTTGCATAGAAAATTTCACCAATCTGAGGGTTCAAACTTTAGCTCCCTGTGTTTCTAAAACTTAATTATATATGTGTGCAAACTTTGCTGAAAACTTGAAATGTATTATTTCTATAGATGCAACCAAAATCGTTAAGCGATTAATGTAATATTTCTGCATTATATTTAATTTTATTGTGTCATTTGCAGCTTTCTATCATAAAATCTATTTTGGTCTAATTTTCATCACTTTGTTTTTGAAAAAAAAAAAAAAACAATGTTTGTAATATTGTAATTCACTTTATTCACCTTATACCCAATTGGCTTGTTCCATAGTTTTTGATGCTGTATCAAAAACCTTTTAAATATTTTGAAAAAAAGTATTGCTGAAAAAAGTGGGTAGGCATTAATGCACTATATCAAATATAAAGTGCTCAGTACACCCCTCAAAAATCTGTTTTAAATTCACATTTTTAACATGAAGCTTTACAATTATATATTTGTACATATACTTTAGTTTAGTCAGTACGGAAGCCAAATCTGGAGTTTATCTAACAAAATAACTTATGATAACGGTCAAAAAACTAGTACAACCAAATGTACAATGTTATAGAAAACAATAAATACAATTATAAAAAAGAGCAAAAATCAAGAGAAGCAAAAAAACTTTAAAATGTTGTAGTTTTTTTTTTGCTTGAATTTAATTGTAGTATGTTTTCATTTGTGAATATGTTTGGTAAATTAAACATTATTTTAATATGTATATCTGTTTAATAAATCTGTTTTGATTAATGCACCAAAATGCATTGCATATATTTACTAAGAAATTGATACAAATATACATTTTCAAAATTGGGTGTACTCCATTATGCTAAGCACTGTACTTCATATAAAACTAACGTTATCTTTACACGTTTGCTGTAGCCTACTTCATTGTATGACAATTTTATAAACTGAGTTAAATTGTGCTGAAATATCTTCATCTGAGGAAATAAACGTTGTATAATTACTTCTTGTAAATAAAGCATAATCGGGTTCAAAACATCAGCATGTAATGCTGCCACCGCGTGATGGCACATATGAATCACTGAATCAGAGTACTGAATCTTAAGTGCTCGAATGAGCCGAGTCGCGCGCACGAGTGCCAACAGTGCCGTACATCCAATGTGCTCTCAGATTTCCGGGCTTGAGCAACAAATCAGGTCTCTGCGGTAACCCTCGCCTGATGATGATGATGATGATGAGGTGGAAGATGAGGAGGATGATGCTGGCTTCTGCATTGCTTTAATATCCATCCGCACCCACAGCACGTCTGTCATCATTTTGTCTCGCGTCGTCATGCGGTTAAAGGTCTGAACAGACATTCAAATTCTCCTCAACATCTTTCAGGACACATATAGACGCGTCGCACACTGTAGGATTTCCCAGCTGCAGCGAAAAGTACGATGATGATGAGGATGATGACGTATGGCCGTCATTTCTGTCCGTCAATAGATTGAGAAAGTGTGAAACGGCGGATTGTTTACGTATCTGTTCATTTGACCGGGACTAGTTGCCACATTTTTACACCAGTGGCCTTTTACCTCTGTTGTCAGTTATTATTTAACCTTTGGTATATTTCCACTCATACACAGTTTATTGAAGTGTTGATACATATAAGGTAAAATGTCACAATAAGACTATTAATATAATAATAATAATAATAATCATCATCATCATCATATTAATATATGTCAATTTTGTGTAATAGATAAGAACACCAAAGTTCTAATAAATGTGTATGACCAAATTGAGAGAATTTAATGAATAATTTTTCGAAATGCTTATAGA